CGATTAAAATTAATATGAAAAATTTATTTATACAGAAAATATTTAAATTTCTAAAAATAGCAACCACACGAGATTGATAATAATATTAACATGTAATATATTACTATACATCCTTAATAATACGTATTCTTTAAAAACTGCAATCTATATCTTTCCTGGTCCGATTTAACATGATTTTATATCAGTATGACAGTGCTAGAGCATAAAATGAAAACGGACATAAGAAAATACTATAAATAGAATATATATATTCAATGTGATTTTTTGGCAAATTTAAAAGAAGAGAGGTGCTGAATTCCCCTGATTGAACATGTACATAATTCTTCTTGAAATAGCTCTTATCACTGAATGAACATAATATACGTCAAAGTGTATCTACAATTCACGTTCTTATTTTTTGTAACTCACGCTCTTTAAAGTAAAGTCCGTATTACACTGTTAGAAATTTATAGTCGAAGTGATATTCGCGAAAAAATCTTTCTTACATAAAATTCAGCCTTCATATGCGTCTAACGCTTCCCGCAACTTATCCACAATCTTCTGATAGAATGCAATTTGCTCTGTTAAATGCGTTTTCATGGCCTGAGTTGTATGTATCTCTTGTTCCGTCTGAAAATGCGCTTCTTCAGCAAGAAGTGCTCTTGCTATTATATCTGTTCGATGTGAAAGTTCTCGCAACTTTTGTGGTTCCATTTTATGTTCACTTACTAGCTTTTCACAGTCTTTCCTCTTTTGAACAGCACTCTAAAAAAATATGTATTTACTCAATTAAAATTTGATGATAAGAATTGTGCTTCTCTTTTGTTTACCTTGTGTATACTGATTACATCTGGAAAACTACTGATGATTCCTCTGTAAATATGAAACTTATCTGCAAGTGGTTCCCAATCAAACTTTGATTGTTCTTTGTACAGTCTGCCTATGTCGTTATAAGCTTCACCTGTTACTTTTAACGCATTAGTTAATTTTCCTCGACTGCTATCGTCACCTTCTAGTGCACGACTCAACGAACAAAAAGACTGACCAATCTTCTGAAATTCTCTTTTATAGAGATGTTGATTCTTTTTTGCCTGGTCAACAGCCATGGCCATGAAATTTTTAACTACAGGATCTAGGCAGCTTATGAATCTACTATAAGTATCAGTTTGTATTTCTACTTTGATAGCATCCAAAGGAGTTTCAGGGCACTGGAGAGCATGATAGTAATTGTCGCCTAATAATTCGTCTTTCTCTGCTTGCCTCTTGCCTGCTTTCCATCTTTTTTCGTCTGTACAAGTTATAAAGTGTTCCCAAACACGACTACGCGCCAACACAGGATGCCTGCAGACATAATCCACAAACTCCTGCAGTTGTGAACGTCGATGCTCTATAAAGTGCCCTTCGTATCTTCCCGATATTTGTTTATCGGGCAATGGTGGAATGGGGATGAAACAGTATTTTTCCTCTAAACGTTCATGTAGCCAATCGAAATGTTTATATCTTCTTGAAACTTGAATGTTGTTAAACTGTTATAGAAAATGAAAATTAGTTCCATATTAGATAGTCAAAAGATAGGAAAAACAGGAAAACAGGAAAGTAGAACACATTCAAATACCGTTGGCGTGAGTTGATAGACTATAAAACTTTTAAGGCCTTTTAGTTTGGATTCCTTTTTAGGAGATGTGACTACACAACTATAGGGATCCCCTCTCTGAACCCATCTACATTGCCCTCCATCCATTTCCTCTATATATACTTTCTCACTATCAGGAACATTCATTACTCTCATTCCTAATAAAAAACTATCCTCTCCTGATTTGATTAATGTAGAAAACTTGTTATTTTTCTTTGGTACATTAGGCATAGGCCTTTCAGGTATTGCAAAATTCATGGCTTGCATAGAAAATGCGTCTCCGTAATCATTAGTGCTATGATCTTGCACTATCTGTATAGTATTTTGTGATTCTTGTTGTTGTGACGGAATGTAGGCCTGTGTTTGACCAACCTCTGAATCATCGTCCCAATCATCATCCCAAAAGTCACCAGAACTCTGTTGAGATGATGTCATGGCACCTAATGGATTAAAATATTCGTCTCATTTTAAATGATGTACTAAAAACGAAAATTCTACAATATATAAATTATTCTATTACTTGACGCAGGAGCTGTGGTTTCTACTACTTGAACATAGGCTGCTGGAAACAGTCCACATTTCCCACTTTGATTAAAACCTTCGCACCACCCATCGCCAACATTATCTCTCATGACAGTCAATACTTCTCCTGCTACAATGGACAATTCTGCTGTTCCTGGTTCCCCAGTAAAGTTGTAAAGTGCCCTCACCTAAACAAACAACCAAGAAATTAAGTACAATAATTCCAAAATAAAAAAGACAAAGGATTGAATTTCGACTGCCACATGAAAGAATGAGTCATAACATGTTGATCAAACATTGCAACGACTGATCGCGATAAGTTTCAATATCATAGACAGATGTACATACCTGGTGACCCTCCATCATAGAAACATGCAGCAACACTTCTTTAAAATACTGACCGCCAACACAATAGGATTTCGTTTTCCTAATTCAAACAATTTAATTGCACCCGGTCACATACTTACACCAATCTGCTCAACCGTATGACTGACATTTACGTATTCGAGCATGGACGTGTGTGCGACTCCGTGTCACGTAAATGGAAATTTCAAACGACTGTACGGCTACTGTCTTTGGCTGGCGCGTAACATGCTTTTGTGATTTCAGAAAACTACGCGTTTTATAAAAGAATTGTATGTATCGATACAAAAATATAGAACAATCTGCATATTCAAAAAACAACAAACAAAAGAGAAAAAGACGAAGGTATAGAAAATTTGATACTCATTATACGGTTCGAGGTTAAACACAAAGGCACAGGGGGCGCAAAATTACAGCCCACCACTGAATCTTGGATCCGCCTTTGTGAATTAATTCGTATCAGACTTTTACTAGAGTCTGTACAACTTAACTCACAGAATCAACCAAAATTTCTTACATAATTACAAGTACTCTTAGAAAAAAATGTATTTCGTTGAATCTTTTAACTCTTGGTAATTAAATGATTAAATGGTGAAATACACAATAGCAATATATAAATTAGCATTATCTAATTCATATATAATTTATGATATAAACATAATTAATTTAATAAATTAGCCAAAACAAGCTTTAATATAATCGTTCTAAATGCTAAATGGAAAAAGAAGAGTCATATATATTGTTTCATTGAGAAATTTTATTATCTTTGAGTAACATTTTTGTTTTTAATGTTACGGATTTTTAAATTATAATCGCGTTCAATGAGAAGACTTCGACTCCTTTGCATTTTGAAGACTTTGAGTAATATACAATTTTGCTAAGCTTTGAGCACAGAATTGAGAAATGTGCTCACTGTATGTATTAATTTGTCCAGCTACAATCATTGGATTAAGCCTTGGTGGTACAGGCAAAGGTCTCATTAGTTTATTGATATCATCATCTGGTAGCGGAGGCTCATCTTTAGCAGCCCTGGCTGCATTTTCTTGAACTCTTTTAGCCAACAATCTATTCTTTTCTTGTTGTTGACGAACAACTAACTGTTGATATCTATTAAACTTCATGGCTTCCTGATTCAATTCATCTACACGATCCATCAGGCAACGTAACTGATTTTCTAGTACTGTAGCAGTTCCTAGATCCAAATATTTAGTACCTTCCTCTTCTGGAATCATTTCCTCCAATTCAGACATCATTATATTTGTCAAATTACTGTTCTTTATTACCACCGGTATCTCAATGAACAGATTCTCATAACCGATCTTTAAAGTACGTAATGCTTCTGGTGTAAATTCTCCTTCTTTGTACATTTGAATAGCTTGTGGAGTAAGTCTATAAGCTTTCAATGTCAAGAAACCTCTGGCTGACTTGGCTGTATCGTATATAAGAACCACCGATTCCTCTATGGAAGTTTGATAATGATATTGTGATTCCAGTAGTGAAACATTTAGAAAATTGCCAACATCTGCGCTCTGGTACCAACCGACATGGAAGTGATCAACATTTACCCTGGAAAAATATATTTTAATCTTTGTTACACTACTACATAATGTTGCATTATTCGATCGATGATTTACCATCTGAGACGTCGCATCATTGCAAGCTGGTACTCTTCTTCGTCCATAATTTCATCATTCTTGGGAAAAGGAAAACAATTTGTGATCTCGAGACGGTGTTTGACTACCAAACCGAGTAGAGCACCTTGAGCCACATCCATGTTGCTCAAAGATTCTTCGTGGCAATGCTTCACCATTTTCATAACAACTAGTCCATCGCACTGAACATAATCTATACGCGGTTCTGCTTCGGGGATTCTTCTTGTCTGCGTTCTCGAATTCATTTTTTCAATGAAAAATAGCTACAATACTGACAGCGATTTGTGGTTAGCTTCTTGTCAACCAGGTTAGGAATGAAAAGAAATTCTTATCCCTCTTACAGCCCTGCAGTCTACACGCATGGTACAACCGTAGATTCAAAAATATACTTAGAATGGTCAACGTGATGAACTATGGTCCAGTGAACTGGCTCACAATAGTAACCAATATTAATGAAACATAGCTCAAAAAATTGATCTTTAATTGCCTATAATTGCTCGCTAATTAGTTTTAATTGTTCACTTATCCTTTTTGAGAAAAGCCTTTAAAATTCTAGTTTTAGTTTTCACCGTAATAGGCGCCATGATCTATCTCAAAAACGACAATAACATACTGGACTGGACATACATAGTTGCCACTTTTTCTGTGGTTATTACATATCGATATAATACACGATTTTCTCTCGTCTGTATCATTGTTTTTATTGAATATATGTATGATATGCTTTTCAAAACATGCAAGAAGAAGATCTGTGCTACGTTTTTGTTAAATCAATTTGGAATATGTATAAGTCGTACAAATCGTAAAGACTGCAAAAGTGATAATCATCACGAACTGTATTGACGATTAATGGCAGCTGACAAATACATATTTCTTAAAAAAACAACTTAAATAATGTATGCCTTGTAAGCGTCAATTGATAGTGCAAACTAATAATAAATAATATAAGAAGAATTGAATGTAAATAACGCATTATACGATGATATTAAGTATCATAATTGGTTAGGTTATTTGGTTATAAAACAAATACGCGTGCATTAGAACTGTTTTTAATATTAATTGTTATATTTGAAATCTATATAACTATTTCTAGACGAAAGTGAGTCCACAAGTTTAAATATACGAATATGTCAGTCGGTATAAATTTACAAGAAAGTTACAGGAATGATGTATCTGAGATGCAGTTTATGAATTTTGTCTGTCCAATTTGTGACTTTTTATTTATAAATAAAGATGAATTTTATGATCATTTGCACAATCACACTGGAGACGGATTATTGAAACAGTTTTTTAAAAAAGACATAATCAGCGAATCACAAGCAGAATCAGAACATTGTAGCCAAGAAAAATCTGATAAATTGCCTGAGAATGTGGCAAGGCCTTTCAAATGCCAGCAATGTGATTTAACATTTGACAGAGCTTCTCAATATGATTATCATTATCGAAGTATACATTTAGGTGAGAAATCACAGCTATGTGAAATCTGTGGCAAAGGTTTCTTTAGAAAAGCAGACCTAAGAACACATTTGAATATTCATTTGGGAACAAACACTTGTATTTGTGAAGTTTGTGGGAGAAAATTCAACCACATATCAAATTTGATTAGACACAGTAGAATGCATGCTGGTAAATATATTATTTATACCAAAAATCTATTATACAAACAAGATGAAAATTCGAAAATTATCTGCAATTAAATTTATAGGGATAAAACCATATCCATGTTCTATTTGTGGCAAACGTTTCACTCAGATCAGTTCTCTAGCCAGACATAAGCGTATTCATGTGAGACTAAAAAAAGATGCATATGAAACACAAAGTAATAGTACCAATATCAATGCTGAGAAAAAAGATCACACAGTAAACAAGAATAAGGTGATTGAATAATATTTTATTGTATAAGATCTTTGGATATCGATGTATATCTCATTAGCAATGTATAGTCTGTTGAAGGTAATGCACTTGCTCAACAAAAAGCTTTTAAGAGACAACACTATTGTAAAACTTGCGGTGAGAGCTTCAGTTTGATCTTACATTTGCGGGAACACGAGAGCTCTCATTTAAAGAATGCAACCAGTTCGGAAGGCAAGAATAATGAAATGGTAAGAAGAATGTTAAAAGAATTCCGTTTTTGATTGTTTTAATTGTTCAGAATTTTCAGAAAAATTCGATATTCGATGAGCATAAAAACCAGGAGGATAATTTCGATTTCCTGGAGAATGAGGAAAATTTGAAAAGAGTATTGCCATTGGAAACAATTATTTATATCACATCAGAACAGGTAAAGAATGTAGTTATAATTATCTGATTTTGCAATAAAATACTTCTAATTTAATTTTGCGTTTAGTTGAAGAAAATTAATCTGGAGAATATTGAGAATACTAAGGACCATGTTGCACAAGAACATTTTTGTGATACAAACGAAAAAATTCCATTAATTGAGGAATTAACTGATTCTGACAAACTGATATCTAATAATGAAATACTCCAAAACGTGCTGTATGTGTGCCAAATGGATGAACCTGTTCTAAAGAGCAAATTAAATACGAAATTTTTAAACAATCAAGAATATTTAGCGTGCCCACAAACATATGAAGTAGACTTGCAGAAATCAGAAGTACCACAAAATTATAACACTTCAACAAATATTTCTCTCAATGTTACAGATATGTTTCAAAAGATAGATTTATCAGAATCAAGTATCACTGAACATGATAAACTCGATTTAACTATCCACAATCACCAAGACATAAACGTCGAGCAAAACGAAAAGGTTCCAGATGATTCAAATAATGAAAGTAATTCTATAAACCAAGAAGAACCTATGCTACGTTTAGTACAGACAGAGACAGGAGAACAATTTTATGAATTTTTAATTAATAATTTAGTGGAGAAACTACCGAACATACAGTCCGTAAAAACTTCCGAAAATAAAGAGGAACATGCAGATATTTCTGAAAATATAGTAAACACATGTTTTAGCATAAAAGATGTGAACGACGACGTCCACCGTGAACAAAATATAAGAGATGATATATCCGGCGACCTAAGTTATACACAATATGAATTACAAGGCGAAGAAAAAAGTTTTGCCGCAAATCAGATTTTGTTGGATCCACAAAATGATTTTGATAAATATGTAGAAACGAATTTCGAAGTTTTTGAGCGATTAAATTATGACGATAGTTCAGAAAGATTTCTTAAATTCGTGGAAAATGCGGGAGTTGAAAATCAAAGCTCCAAAATCTTGGAGTGCAAAGAAAACGATCAACTTTTACAATTCCAAAGTTTCAGTCAAATCGATTCCATCCAAGAAAATGAAAAGAATGACGCAATTAGCGACAGTGAACAGATACTTCTAACTTCTCTTAATGACGATATACAATGTAAACTTAATACAAATAATGATCAAATTGTTGACGAAGAGGAAACGCAGGTGCAAGCTGATAATTCTATGAGTGATGACAAACAAGATGATCAACAGGAAGATTTAAGAAAGTCGAAAGTATATTTATTAAAGTTCCAGTGTACAGTATGTGAAAAATCATTTTCAACCAGTTACAATTATAAACAGCACATAGGTACACATTTTGCAGATCAACAAAAATTTCATTGCAAAGAATGCAAAATGTCCTTCGCTTGGAAATCTACATTAAACAAACACATCGCTAGTAATCACAGACCGGAAGGTCCGCAAAAGTTTGCGTGTGATATGTGCCAAAAAATTTACAATACTTCTTCACAAGTAAATGTAAGTATATCTTCTTTCAGGGAGACTGTTATAACTTTATCTAAATTAATTTTTGTTACTGTAGGAACATGTGAAACGTGATCACCTAAAGCAGCGAAATCATGTGTGCTCCCATTGTGGTAAATCATTTTTCAAGAAATACGACTTGAAAATACATAATAGAATTCACACAGACGAGAGACCATATGTTTGTCCAGCTTGTGGGAAAAGATTCCACCATAGAAGTCATATTATTCGTCATGAACGTATACATTTTTAGGGAGAGGATGTATATTAATTATTTAAACTTTTAAAATGTAACTAGTGAAACATATTTATGAATGGAAAACATTGTAAATTTTACATTATACAGGATGTAAAACTAAATGCATTCAAAGCCCTATTATTTGAATTACATTAATCATCGTCATTAGATGTTTTAGATTAATTATTTTAATGGAAAACTATGTGCTTTTAGTTTTACATTCTTACACGACAAAGATTATAATGTAATTTGCATAATGCCTTTTCCTAAATATTTTTTTAGGAGATTATTATTTTTTTAAGAAAAAAAGGAAATAAATGATAAATGCCCTTGAACGTGTTCTCATTGTGCGTCACTACTTAATACATTGATAATTTGTTCGTTTGATATTCTACACCTATGTATAGATGATATGTCACGGCAGTAAGATGCAGTAAGCCTAGGCCGCTTCAATATGGTGGACGTTATGAGTGACGACGTGGTGAATAACGTGCAAAACCAGAATTTAAAGGAAGAAAAGGCATGAACATAGTTAATTTTTTATCAGATTTTTATAAATTTCATTTTTAGCATTAAAATATGTTGTCGAGTTTGCGTATTTGCAGTTCTAGAAACTTGTATAATGTTTCGATGCGGCCACATGCTTCTTGGGTTGGTTATATAGTGTATTATCATACCGATACCTTATTTCATAATGTGTTGCTAATTTTTTCGTTCATTTGTTTATTGAGAACATATTTTCAAAAAATAACGACACGAATTGTTTCTGATATATAAATGATCATCCCATATTAGCGAAATCAATAATCTGATGTAATACAAGAAAGTTTTCATTTTGATGTATGCTACTAACTTCGTCATTCTATTTAGTATTTTATAAATATGTAAAGCACCAGGTCAATTTTTTTAATAAATGCAATATTTTTGTCAAATATAGGCGAAGATGATGAAGAAAAAAAAGAATGCTGTCACTGATGAGAAAACTGTTTCTGAATTAAAACCTTGGCCCAATTATATTCAGGTATATTAAAAAATACTTTAAAAATTTATAGTTTTACATTTTATAGTAGTAATCTGGTTCAACAGCATAACATATTTTTAGGATCGTATAATATTATGGGACAAGTTAAAAGCAGAATATGAAGCAGAATTAGCTTCAAAATCAGTTACTGATATAAAAGTAACTCTTCCTGATGGAAAAGAAGTTGTTGGCCAATCTTGGCGTACAACACCATACGAAGTAGCAAAAAGCATTAGTCAAGGTTTAGCAGATAATACCATCATTGCAAAAGTTAACAATGAGCTGTGGGATCTGGATAGACCATTGGAATCCAATTGCAAACTAGAACTTCTTAAGTTTGATAGCCACGATGGTCAACAAGTATTTTGGCATTCCAGTGCACACATTTTGGGAGAAGCTATGGAAAGGGTATACGGTGGTTGCTTATGCTATGGCCCACCAATTGAGAATGGATTTTACTATGATATGTACCTAGGTGATAAGGGTATATCAAATCTAGATTTTCCATTCTTGGAAACCCTTTATAAAACTATAGTTAAAGAGAAACAGCCGTTTGAAAGATTAGAAATGACAAAGGAAGAGCTATTAGAGATGTTTAAGTACAATGAATTCAAAGTTCGTATTATTAATGAAAAAATAAATACACCTAAGACCACAGTTTACAGGTGTGGCCCTTTGATCGATTTGTGTAGAGGGCCACACATTAGACACACTGGAAAGGTAAAAGCTATCAAAGTCACTAAAAATTCCTCCACCTATTGGGAAGGAAATGCTAATGCAGAATCTTTGCAAAGACTTTATGGCATCAGCTTTCCAGACACCAAACAGCTGAAAGAGTGGGAGAAATTTCAAGAAGAAGCTGCTAAACGAGATCACAGGAAAATAGGAAAAGAGCAAGAACTATACTTTTTCCATGAACTTTCTCCAGGATCATGTTTCTTCCAACCACGTGGAGCGCATATTTATAATACTTTGGTAGAATTTATTCGGTCCGAATATAGAAAGAGAGGTTTTCAAGAAGTAGTTACACCTAATATTTATAACAGCAAATTGTGGCAAACGTCTGGCCACTGGCAGCACTATGCAGATAACATGTTCTCGTTTGACGTTGAGAAAGAAACATTCGCGCTTAAACCGATGAATTGTCCTGGCCATTGCATGATATTTGACGTACGGAACAGATCTTGGCGTGAATTGCCATTGAGAATGGCTGACTTCGGAGTGTTGCACAGGAATGAAATGTCTGGTGCATTGACTGGACTTACCAGAGTCAGACGTTTCCAGCAGGACGATGCACATATATTCTGCTCGGTAGAACAAATTAAAGACGAAGTGCTGGGCGCGTTGGACTTCTTACGTCACGTGTACTCTGTTTTTGGTTTCACGTTCAACTTGTGTCTATCCACGAGACCGGAAAAATATTTGGGAGATATAGAAATGTGGAATCAGGCTGAGAAAGCGTTGGAAGATAGTTTGAACACGTTTGGAGCAGAGTGGACAATTAATCCAGAAGATGGTGCGTTCTACGGCCCAAAAATTGATATAACGATTATGGATGCTTTAAGGAGGCCTCATCAGTGTGCCACAATTCAATTGGACTTCCAATTACCAATTAGATTTAATTTGTCTTATGTTAAGTAAGAAAAGAACGATTAATTTCTAAATAAATTCTCGAACAAAGTTCAATTTGAATTAACAATTGAATGTTCCAAAATTTTAGCGAGGCTAGTGAGAAAACGAGGCCAGTAATCATTCACAGGGCCATCCTAGGCTCCGTCGAAAGAATGATTGCGATTTTAACTGAATCCTATGCTGGGAAGTGGCCATTCTGGTTGTCTCCGCGGCAAGCAATGGTCATTCCAGTAAGTTCTCACTTCGACGAGTATGCTTTCGAGGTGAAGGATAAACTTTGGGATGCTGGATTCATGGCAGAGGTTGATACAGATGCAAGTGATACTTTGAATAAAAAAGTACGAAATGCTCAACTTGCACAGTTCAACTTCATCCTTGGTAATATAGCATTACATATTTGATGTAGTCTGTATTATATGACGGAGTGTTTTATATTATGGAATTATGTTTTTAGTTGTTGGAGAAAAAGAACGCAAAGTTGGTACAGTGAATGTTCGAACCAGGGACAACAAGGTACACGGAGAAGTTGCTGTAGACGATTTAATTACAAAATTCAAGTCCTTCAAAGAGCAGAAGGATCAGAATTGTGAGGAAATGTTCTAAACGAGCTTTCATGAACAAATGGAATATTTATTTATTTGTAGACCTTAACTTCAATGGTATCGGTTGTAACACAAAACCAATAGAACTAGAAATGACATTCTTGAAAATTTGTTAAAAACAATGCACGAACCAGTTAAATAAATATATCACGCTACCGAAATCCTGTTTCTAAGGAAATCATAAAGAAATATAGAGTAACTTTTGTATAGAATATTTTACACATAATTCCTTGCTGAGCAAGTTATTATACAATTCAACAAGAAGTTACGCATTTATATCGGCGTGTTTTGTTCCATGACACATTAGGAAAATATAAAGATGGTAAACGTAGAAAAAGCATACTTCGCTTTTACTTACTCAGCATTTTTTCTAAGGGACATGTCTATATCTACTACTGCATCAAGGAGTTATCGACGATAACTCATTTTACTTAGAGGCTACAGATAACATTTGGTTACGTCCATCTTTGTAACAGAAACATTGAGTGTACATCGTAAAATGAAATGTTCATCTCAACGGCTGTGCTCCATAATTTATTGCCGATACGGTCAATACGCGTATTGCTGTAACTGCAATTAATGTCCTTTCAAAATAAACTGTTGTAAATTGTATCTCACGTCCTCGTTAACAGAAAATTGCCGCCTTTTAAAGATCTCTTGTAACAACCATTCAAATAAAGTAGCACGTTCCACTCAAATTGCTTTTAATTCATCTTAAATTCAAAGGCTAACATATTTACGCATAATTGCCTTATTAACCAAGTGAATAATCATTCTTCGTGCATGAATTAACAAGTTTAAAAAGGTTTAATTACTAAAAGTTAATTAATTATTAAAAGTTTAAAAAAGTCCATTTCAAACTTCAGGAAATTGTATTGTCAGACACAAACTATGCGCTTGCGCAAATGTCAAACATGAATTTATATTCTACGATATTTCTCACGTTAAATGTTATACTGTTATTATTAGAATTCTAATTAATCCAAATTTTATTTTCATTAATGTTATTAATATATTTTATGAGTTCCCCAATGCATTTTGTCTTGTGGCGATTCGTTCGAATTATTTGAATTACAGGACAAATTTCTTTGCCTAGAACTGTGAGGGCAGCACTGTTTAGCTGTGAAGCGTCAACCAATCAGAGAAGAAGCAGTTTTTCTGCCTGGCTTACGTAGTCCTCTTGTAGAGGGCGCCACCAAGCCCCACTATCAAACGAACAGCGCATGCGTCAGTTAATGGAGCTCCTTTTCCGGAAAGAAGAGCGAACGGTTACCAGGGGTTGGAGGTGTACTATTTGGTTGTTAGAAAATGACAGCCATTACAATTTCACCAGCTTCCCATGGACTTATACAAGTGGTGAACGAAAGTAATTTGTGTAAAATAGAAAGGTACGTAGAAGAATAGCAACCATCGACGAATTTTGACTTTCGTGGATTTGGAGCGTCTACATGGCTACTATCGATTTTTTGCAGCTATCTTAATGACACCGCATACAGGGAATCCATCGAAAATGCTTCAAATTATAACAGCCGATTATGCAGGGAACGACGACTACGTATGCCTTTCCTCGATTCACAGACAGGTATTTCTTACCGTGATTTATGTATGCTTTTAACGCTCTAGTTATCAGAGTTGTATAATGCTACTATCAGAAATCGATCGCGTCTGTTTGAATTCAGTTAGCGCACTTTTTTTTGGTTGTACTCCTACTATTGTTGACATGCGTAGTTTAATTTTTTATGACGCAAATAGCAAGAGACAACGGAATACAATGATAATTCGTAAATAGCTTCTTAAATATGTCGAGAATTACCGAGGTTTCTCAATTAAAACTACATGAACCAGTTTATAGACATAAGGAGTTACAATTTATTTGATTAAAAGCTAAATTTTTGTATTAAAATCTCTTCCGTTGGTCGGTTGTTGCTTCTTATTATTAAATAATGATTAATTAAAAATGAATGGTGAATCTGTGGTGTCGCCAGGTATAGATTGATAATAGAAATCATTGTAAATTTACAGGTGTAGCACAAAATCATTCTTCGCTGTTTATGTCAGCAAGAGAAAGGCTTCCAGGCTTGTTACACGGTCAAATATATACATATCCCAGTAAAAGATGGAGAAAAAAAAGACGACAGTATCTAATGCACTATTTGCATCCAAAAAGGGGTCCCAGAGGAGATCCAGAAGATGGCGTAGAAGGTGTAGAAACTGTAACACATGTAAATGATGATAGTAAAGAATCTGTTGCTCTTAAAGGTAGATATATTTATAAAAATATGTAAATATATTGTGGACATTATACTTAATTGAATCAAAATAACAANACAAGTTTAAAAAGGTTTAATTACTAAAAGTTAATTAATTATTAAAAGTTTAAAAAAGTCCATTTCAAACTTCAGGAAATTGTATTGTCAGACACAAACTATGCGCTTGCGCAAATGTCAAACATGAATTTATATTCTACGATATTTCTCACGTTAAATGTTATACTGTTATTATTAGAATTCTAATTAATCCAAATTTTATTTTCATTAATGTTATTAATATATTTTATGAGTTCCCCAATGCATTTTGTCTTGTGGCGATTCGTTCGAATTATTTGAATTACAGGACAAATTTCTTTGCCTAGAACTGTGAGGGCAGCACTGTTTAGCTGTGAAGCGTCAACCAATCAGAGAAGAAGCAGTTTTTCTGCCTGGCTTACGTAGTCCTCTTGTAGAGGGCGCCACCAAGCCCCACTATCAAACGAACAGCGCATGCGTCAGTTAATGGAGCTCCTTTTCCGGAAAGAAGAGCGAACGGTTACCAGGGGTTGGAGGTGTACTATTTGGTTGTTAGAAAATGACAGCCATTACAATTTCACCAGCTTCCCATGGACTTATACAAGTGGTGAACGAAAGTAATTTGTGTAAAATAGAAAGGTACGTAGAAGAATAGCAACCATCGACGAATTTTGACTTTCGTGGATTTGGAGCGTCTACATGGCTACTATCGATTTTTTGCAGCTATCTTAATGACACCGCATACAGGGAATCCATCGAAAATGCTTCAAATTATAACAGCCGATTATGCAGGGAACGACGACTACGTATGCCTTTCCTCGATTCACAGACAGGTATTTCTTACCGTGATTTATGTATGCTTTTAACGCTCTAGTTATCAGAGTTGTATAATGCTACTATCAGAAATCGATCGCGTCTGTTTGAATTCAGTTAGCGCACTTTTTTTTGGTTGTACTCCTACTATTGTTGACATGCGTAGTTTAATTTTTTATGACGCAAATAGCAAGAGACAACGGAATACAATGATAATTCGTAAATAGCTTCTTAAATATGTCGAGAATTACCGAGGTTTCTCAATTAAAACTACATGAACCAGTTTATAGACATAAGGAGTTACAATTTATTTGATTAAAAGCTAAATTTTTGTATTAAAATCTCTTCCGTTGGTCGGTTGTTGCTTCTTATTATTAAATAATGATTAATTAAAAATGAATGGTGAATCTGTGGTGTCGCCAGGTATAGATTGATAATAGAAATCATTGTAAATTTACAGGTGTAGCACAAAATCATTCTTCGCTGTTTATGTCAGCAAGAGAAAGGCTTCCAGGCTTGTTACACGGTCAAATATATACATATCCCAGTAAAAGATGGAGAAAAAAAAGACGACAGTATCTAATGCACTATTTGCATCCAAAAAGGGGTCCCAGAGGAGATCCAGAAGATGGCGTAGAAGGTGTAGAAACTGTAACACATGTAAATGATGATAGTAAAGAATCTGTTGCTCTTAAAGGTAGATATATTTATAAAAATATGTAAATATATTGTGGACATTATACTTAATTGAATCAAAATAACAATTACTTATAGAGGAACACAGTAAAGATGCTTGGTACTATGACGAACAAGACATATTGGATATGGATACGTACGAGGAACCTGATCCTGAAAGTGATTATGATTATGAAGAAAGTTACAGTAGTAAAAGGAAACGAAGAAAACCTCGTGGTGGTGGACATCATCCTGCACGAAATCATCCTCCTTCCACAGATAACCCAGGAAGCAAACGTACAAAGGTTATTCTTTATTGTTAATATTAGCAGAATGTTTATTATGAGAATTAAGAAGCACAAACATATTGTGAAATACTTGATTCAATATGCAATTATATTCTTTAATTTTACATTTTCGTTTTTTCATATCTGATATTAAAGATTGTAAAAACCTTTTGTTAAATAGGGTGGGGGACGTGGGCGCAAAAAAACCAACTATGATGCTGTTGACACTGATAAGCCATTCGTTTGTGACCGTAAGTTTAACCATAGATACAACTACAAATGACCACTTCCTGTTACTAGTTTCATTATGATTATTATTATTAGTTCTATCAGTTGTTATTTCGAATAAGCGAACAAGTACATTACGTTAGAAGATTTGTTAATTTTATTAAATAACTATATTTTTATGATGCCTACATATTATTTCACAAAATACGCAAAAAGTTAATATATGATATATAGAAAAAGAATAATATGAAAGCTCGAAATAAATTATTGAAGACTCTAGTTTTGGTTGCCGCATAATTTTATACTTTGGGGATGGTAACTGAATTTATAATGAACTTTATAACGTGGAGAGGTGTCCTTTAGACTCATTAGTAATTTCATGTTGGATTTTAATGCTCTTTTGCTCAGTGAGATTGATCAGTACCGTATTGACTGCTGTTTTCCTTCAAGTTAATCAATTTGCAGTACACTATAGGATGCTCCGATCCTTGTCGTATACTTTGTGTTTGTATCAAACCTTGTACTCCATTTCTCTTTTTCCTATTTATCGAAGTATGAAGAGACGTGACATGGTTCTGTATGAAAGGATAAGATTGATCACGCGTGTATTAAAGATGTTAATGTTCGCACGAAGAACGTATGCAGTGCGTTCAAACATTATGTAGGCTGTATAAAATTGTGAACACTGTCCATTTTCTAATCATTTGAAGGTAACATACCTTACTGATTCGCGTTCAGAGAACTGTAATTTCTTATATCCATAATTTACAAGAAATAATGTTTCCAAAAAAAAAAGAAAAATAAGGAGTGGTCATTCTTATCTTATAGACAATCTTTTCATCGATGCTTAATTTTGTTGACAATATTTACTTGCTGACAATATTCTTGAAGATCACTTAGGAGAACGACCAATATTATCTGTATATATACATAGTCAGTGGTTGAATAAACGAAGTGATAAATATTGTCGGCGATGTCCAGTGAAGAATTGTCGATGAAATGATTGTCAATGAGATCAAGGTGATTCGCTAGGTGGCCGCGTTTGCTTAGACCTTGAAGGAGTATAATAGTCACTACTAATTTGATCGAACTTTTCCAGACGCGAAGTCTATGAATTAACTCGAATGTGCCTGCCAATCTGTTTACTTCTTGAAACCACTCCTGTTAGACTAGCGGATGAATCTAAAGACATTTGGTCAAGACTAGTAAGCCTCGATTCTAAGCCGACACGTTCTGCCGACGAGTATAGACCATTGATTCTTGATCGAGCTTACAGTAATCGGCCAAATATCTTCGGACCTATACTACCTGCCAATAACAGAGCAAGAATGTACTGGCTCACACTGTAGCGAGCTCATTCTGTAGGAGTATACAAGCATCAAGCCTTGCATCGTATTAGTTTTGCTTCTTGGGCTGGAACTCCTTCACTGCTTGTCCACATATAGATTCGTAGGTGGATAGGGATATGTACTGGTACGGAAGGTGTGCAAATGCTATCCTAAACCTGGTAAGCTTCTTCCTCGAATCCTTTAACCGCCATGTATACTCCAAACTGTAGATATCCAGTAGATGTTCTCGCTATACACGAGAACCGTCTGTCCGTTTTCGCTTTCTTCATACACATAAACGATGTCATACTGTGTGGGACACACCAGTCCGACATGGCGGTTAGACGGCTACCATTATCCTCCCTTAATCGTCCAACCAACTCGTCGAACCGAGATTTCTCACTCACTCACTCTCTTTCTCTCTCTCTCTGTCTCATCGTGGACGTTGCATTGGTTGGTTTGTGGGAAAAAACAGTATTTGCACTTTTGCAGTATGCAGCGCACGGTATAAAACCAGACCTGGTCTGGTCTACCATTATGGTCATTCCCACTCTACTTCCTCCGGTGATCCTGCTAAGGAACTAAGTCCCAGTCCTGCTGAAGTTGAACCTAGGAGCGTTGCAGACACCGCTGCTTCGAACCAGCCAGGTTGGAGCCAAAATCAGCTCAGTTTTCTCACTCTCCTTTTGTGGCAGTCGCCGCCGGATCCCCCATGCTCCTGGAAACCCCCCTTGTTTACACAACCCCTGGAACCCCGAATCTTTGATCTTGATCATCCATTTTCACGCAACCACCCAGTGTTCATCCGGATCATCATCTCTTTTTTTCCCCCGCCCCCTATACTTGATGGAACTTAAGTATTATATTCTTTAAATGTGTTGCAAATGCATGCTAGGCAAATAACGTAGCGTTCTATACTTCATTTTGTGTTCACGATTGTCCGTACTCGTTTACTATTTTGATCTGATCTCTGTATTTGCACAACTTTGTCTACATTTCTCGACTATCATACGGAGACAGTGTCGTTAAGCCAGTATGATACCGTTCTGTTCAGCATCGTGTACAATTTACTTACGTACACTGCTGGTGTATCTTGTTCTCTCGACACGACTCGAGGCTATTATTTATCCGTTCTCTTCGTTTTTTTTTTTTTTTTTGGAAGATGGAAGGAAGGAAGGAAGAGAGGGGAAAGAGACTAGCGACTTTTCTGGCGAATGTTTTGCAATAGCATGCTTCTGCAATCGCGTCTTGAGAGTTGTTCTGTCGTGTGCCGGGGGAGAGTTGTGCTACCTTCTTAGCCGAGGTAGAGTTGTTAGGCGCAGCCTCTCTCTCTCGAGTATTTGGTATGCGTGTGTGTACTTTTTGATCATGGTTGTTTCTATATACATACATACAATATCCTTTCGCAGCATGATGAGTTTGATCTGAGTTGTTTGTAATGGAGTAATCTAACGGCGTTTACAGTATCTTTTTCATTTTCCGTTTTGCTCGTATTCTCTCTACTTCACTTTACTACTTTGTTGGTTTTTATCTTGTTCGTTTTTTTCTTTTTTTTTAATACGCTTTGGCAATCATAGAGCGATTTTGGCTTCGATTGTTCCTTTTACGATGATCGCCTGCCGCAGCTTCACTAAAGACATATACATACTTTATATAATATACCCGTACGCCCGGAGATTGTTCTCCAAAGAGTCGCAAATAGTAGTGTTGCCGCGTTTGCGCCGCTGTTACTGTCTGACCTTGGAACGGATACTTCGACGTTGTATCGTTGTAATTGCTCTTGGTGATGGAATGCATCGATTGACATAATTTGTGCACCTTGTTACGATTCTATACATACATATATTTATATATATATAGTTATATATATGTATATATATGTATGTATATATATTTATATATATAATATCTACATATACATATTATTTGACTTTTCTTTCCTCATTGTTGTGCCAGTTCCTTTTTTCAATTACTGTGCCACTTTGAATAATCGATTCTGATTAGCCAAGGCAAGTGACCGCCTTCCCAAGGAATTTTTCAATTTTTGTAAAATCGTTCTCACGATTCAGAGTTGCTCTCCTCTGCTGCAACATGTGATACACGTGGTCTTGGGATCAGGGCCCGGGATATGCTGGAGTGGGGACAGAAGCAGCCAATCGCGATGGGAGAAAACGAGACCCCTAATTTCGGAACAGTTTCCAACTTGTCAAAAATGTCCAGAATCTGAACAGATAATTCTGTAGCTGTAAGGGAAAAACGACGAGTGTCACAAATCGAGAGTTCTAATAACTTCTATTCTATTCTGAAATTTTTAGATCTCAATAGTATTGCTAGCCTTCGAGTGACATGGCGCTTAACCGTGTTAAGCGACGAATATCTGAACATATGTGACACACGGCGTTCTTCCTTGCAACCGCATTATCATCGATAAATTAGAATTTGCAAAGGACGGCCCTGTGCCCTCGTCTGCAGAGCGTGGAAGAATTCCGGGATAGGTGGGTCGTAGCGGAATCGATTATGCTGGCGGTGGTCACAGGATTGACTCTAAAACTCATTGTCTCTAAGCCAGTGTGCATGGTCATTAGCTTGTGACGCAAAGCGCAACTGGGTATGTGGTCGGTTTGTGATTAGGTGGTACACGTCGGGGTCGTCAGAACGCAAGCTCATCGAGTACCTCGAGTCCGTCCCCCGCAGCACCCTCCGCGGCCGCTGCGGGGGCGTCGACGCAGCCGCCTGCGCAGTCGCAGCCGCAGCCTCAGCCAGCGGCCCAGCAGGCCCAGCCGGCGGCTCAGCAGGCCCAGCAGCCACAGCCTCAGCCGGCGCAGACGCAGCCGGCGCAGACGCAGCAGCCACAGGCGGCGCAGGCGACGGTCGCGCCCGCGTCGCCGACGATACCGTCGACGAAGGAGGACCACCTGCCTGCGGCCTCGTCCCCGGGAACCGCGGTGCCCTCGCCCTCCTCGGTGAGAACGGAGGGGCCCCCGACCCCCGGGACTAACGAAAAAAAAGCTGGCAAGTCCGCGCAACCCTCCCCGTACTGCGACTTCTGTCTGGGCGACGCTAGGGAAAATAAAAAGACCGGCGGCTCCGAGGAGTTGGTCTCGTGCAGTGACTGCGGCCGCTCAGGTAAGCCAGAGGAAAAGATCAAGCGCAAGTATACACGAAGAACGAATCACAATTAATGCAGGTGGCGTGTGTGTATCCGCCGATGATATATAGTCCGGTAATCGCGTGTGTCGTTCCGTCGATCGAACCCTCTCTGGGTAGCGGATCATTGGATTACCTTCCTTTACTTTTCCTCGGTGGTCTCTGTATCAGGACCACTGGCCATGTATACGGGGGCGGACTCCTATCAGGACGCGTTCCCCGCCCAGGTCGGGAACCCCGCCGCTTTTGCTTTTGTTTCGCGCTGTGTTGGGACCGATGTAAGTACTACCGATCACTACTTCCATCATGTTCACCCTCTTCTGCCGCTACGGCACCAGACAATAACCCTCTCGGATCTGACTTCCGACCAGGCATTCCAAATCAACTTTGTTTGTNCACTGGCCATGTATACGGGGGCGGACTCCTATCAGGACGCGTTCCCCGCCCAGGTCGGGAACCCCGCCGCTTTTGCTTTTGTTTCGCGCTGTGTTGGGACCGATGTAAGTACTACCGATCACTACTTCCATCATGTTCACCCTCTTCTGCCGCTACGGCACCAGACAATAACCCTCTCGGATCTGACTTCCGACCAGGCATTCCAAATCAACTTTGTTTGTTTTTTCTTTTTTTTTTTT